CCCCCCCCCCCAACATTCTCTTTCTTTCGGAGCAGAAAAGGCCAGAACATTTTCGACAATGACTGTATTAGTATCAAGCATAAACACCAAGAACCAAAATGTAGAAATAGATCGAATCGGGTTTAAAATTCAGACCTGTTGTTATAACAAGAAACGTGTTATGTCTTACACCCCTGTCATCCTAAAATAAATCGCCGAGGAGGCATTCAGCGTCTGTTGTGTAGCGCTTGTTTCCATATTTCAGGAGGCGGGCTTCGACTCGGCCTTTTGGAGTCTTTCCGAACTGAGAGGGATACAACCTCCTAGCAAACAGACGGAGAGACTCGATAAAGTTCTCCCCATACCCGAATCGAACTCAGATATTTTGTGTGTAATGGTGAAGCGACTAACCACTATAGCACAGACGCCAGTGAATAACAATGTGTTTCCAATCGCTTGCAAAATGAACACTAGAGCCCTTAGCCCCTGCCCTTGTCACAGTTTGTTTAACTGTCTCAGGACTGTCTCCTATCAGCAGATTTCCAGACAATGACATGGTTTTAAACATTGCAGGGCTCATGTAAACACTCTGTCCATTCTGGATTTCTCGGGATTCGAGAAGTTGACCAAGAATCAGTTCGACCAACTGTGCATCAACACTGCAAACGAGAGACTGCACCAGTACTTGTGCCATCATATCTTCAACTTGGAGAGACAAGACCTAACGGCTGAAGGGGTGGATGTGGAGCAGGTCAACTTTGACGACAACCAGTCGCTGATAGACTTGTTTTTTCAGGTTAGCATTTAAAAATAGATAATTATAACTTCCTGTTAGGAGTTTCCTTTCAGGCGTCTGTCGTGTAGCTGGCTGGGCGCATGTAAAAGACCTGAAATCGATTCTCGTGAGGGGATAATCTTTTCCCAATTAACTAGGTCTTTGCGCTGGACCGTTGTTTCCTTTCTCAGCCCAGGTTGGCCTTGAGAGGCAAGGTCGAAACACGCCTCCGAATAAACTAAACGGTGTCGAATGGGGTCATTTAAAACACCTGCATTGATTTATTTTTCAAAGAGAAAGAAGACAAACAATATCCTTGATACTGGAATTTCTTTCAACTCCCTTTCTTCCTATTTGTTCTGTTCAGCATTTCTTTTTTTCAGCTCTCTAAAAAGTATTGCTTTATTCTGTAAAAGCAAGAAAGAGGAACTGGAAACGATTGAATACAACTTAATCTATCTTTTTGGATTTAAATAGGGGTCATTATTCCCATTGTCAAACTTGATACAATCTAAACTATCATAAAAGAGTGTTAACAAGCAAAATAAAAGCTATATCACAAGAGAGGGGAGAGGTCCGGGGGAACGAAAGATATAAGTGACTGTCGAATGTTTATGCTATGCACCCAATAACTATTTACTTACCTTTACAAGAATTGAAGAGAATTTGAAATAGAAAACAAACTGAAGTCCATGAAAGCAGTTACACTGTACCTCATTTGACATTATGCAAAACAAAGAATTAGCTCAGCTGGGCACCTTAAATGGGTACATTGCAGGAGCAAAAACAAAACTGGAAGAGTATCTGCGAAAAGGGGAATTTGAATGAGATAAGCGTCTTTCTTTCTTCCTTTAACATTTTCATGTTGTGACGTCAGAAATCGTTTTCATCTTCGAGCCTCTTTATCGGAAATATACAACTCAGTAACTTGATGTGTTGCCTCCGAAAGGAGTCGTGATGTAAGGAGATAGCGAATAAAGATGGACAAGTATATGCTGCCTGGACGTCTCTTCTTCATGTTTTTGTACAAAAATGTAGGTGAACTCGAAAAAATAGTATAAACGATAAACAAAACCCTTATTACTCTTCCAGTGCTGTCTGAAATCACACTTTAAAACAAAAACAAAACAAAACAAAACAAAAGAAAAAAAAAGAAGAAAAAAAAGTTGTACATGTGTGAAGAAGAAGAAGAAAGAAACTTAAGTGTACAACATAAGTAGTACATAAAGAGTACGCCAAAAAATTAAATACCAGGAATATCGTCACCATCATCGTCGATCATTGAAGGATTTCAACGAAAGATGAAATTATCAGTTCACTGTCTCTGAAATGGTAAACAAAAAATAACCTGGCTTACTTGAGTAGCACTGTCGAATACGGTGTTCTTTCTTGCTTCAAATGATAATTAAATAGCGCAGAGGGTAATTAAATTCCATTACCAGAAATACTGGTTTCGTCCTGAATACGATGTAATACGACTTCTTTACAATGAGTTTTCTTTTTCAGAAACCGCAAGGCCTGTTCTACCTTCTGGATGAGGAGTCTAGTTTCCCACAAGCAACAGACAACTCCCTGGTGCGAAAACTGAACACTGTCTGTTCTAGCAGCACCCACTTCCAGGCAGCTCGTTCAGACCCTCTGGCCTTTACTATTTTGCATTATGCTGGACAGGTCAGTTGGAAAAAGAATTGTGTTAACTCTTTGGTTCCGGATCGCTAATTAAGGGACGTTTTTTGGTTCTACGTTTCAGCGGATACCGATTTCGTCAACCCCAAGATTTGCACATTGTTCAGTGCTACAGTTTCGATTAATATTCGCCATATTATGTAGATTTTCTGTCCATTATCATTAGTTTGGCTGCTCATAAAAACAAAGTAGCGTCCTCAAATTGGGTGCTGTAAAATTAGGGAATACCTTGCGTACTAATATAATTATTGATGATGATGAATTTTTTTCTGGCTCTTCGTCTGTAGAATGTTTGAACTGTTAAAATTTTGGTTTTTCGATATCAGTTTAATAGTGTTTGAGCGCTTAACCAGCTACTTACACTGTATGCTTTCTGGCAAGCAGAAAATGTTTTTGCGTATTCTCGGGTCTGCTGGGTTGACGTTGTAGTGCATAGAGCTTGGTGTTGAGCGGAGATATACCCTATATAAATGATTTTTATTTATTTATTTGTTTATTTATTTACTTATTTATTCATTTCATTATTATTATTATTATTATTATTATTATTATTATTATTATTATTATTATTATTATTATTATTATTATTACTATTATTATTATTATTATTATTATTACTATTATTATTATTATTATTACTATTATATTATTAGTATCATCATTATTATTATTATTATGATTATTATTATTATTATTACTAATATTATTACCATTATTATAGATAGATAGATAGAGAGAGAGAGAGAGAGAGAGAGTGTGTGTATATGTGTGTATGTATGTAGGGAGGGAAGCAGGGAAATCATATAAATTATATATTACGAGAACTAAAACCCTATGCGTTTTTCAACATATTTTTGCCAATTGGGAGTCTGTTAAAATTTTTCTCAGGTGGAAAAGAAGATTGCTTAAACTAAAACCAAATGAAATGATATAATCATATAGTAGACTAGTAGTCTGAAAAGTTTCTCAAGCTAATTCTATTAAAGGTCTTCTTGTCGTAGTTTTTTAAAACGTAAATTAATTTACTGAATGTGACATAGATTCACACAATGTGCTTGCAGGTTTTATACGACGCGCACGGTATGCTGGAACGAAACAGAGACAGTCTGGGTTCGAACATTGTTGAGCTGATGCTGGACAGTAACGATGCTATGGTTCGGCTGCTTTTCACAGCACCAGAGAATGCCACAGGGTCCTACTCGAGGTTGGTTAGATCATATGTTTGGTTAAATTGTTTGCTTTTTGTTTGTTTGCAGCTTTGATTTGTTGCATAATGCCAAGAACAGAAGGCGGTTAACGCATCTCAGGTTCTTTAATGCTTCAAAGTGCATGATCGCAGGAGTAAAAGGGCAACAGACATAATATATCATTATCATATTTTTATATCTTTTTGTCTGTCCCGAAACGTGGGAGAGTAAGTCTGTGCTATACATACTATATATTATTGTCGTTATATTTGGTTATTCTAAAATGATTATATTTTTAAAAAATTCGAAAAGACAAAGGGATTAGAATCTTTTTATTGACAACGTCCATTTGTGTTGGCTCACTTTCCTTGGGTTCTATAAAGAAATGTTTAATTTATCAGTATTCTTGAAATAAGATCGGCTATGACAATAAACGTTTTATATCTGCAGGTCTTTCAGCACCGGCAAAATGAGAGCACAAATTTTCTCTTCGTCTGATGATCCAGCTGAACTATCTGATGGTAAACGAATCAGTGGCGACAACTCAAGGTGAGTATCTTTCTATCTATCTATCTATCTATCTATCTATCTATCTATCTATCTATCTATCTATCT